CCCACCCCCCTACCCCCTGGCCCCCAAATAGATGTTGAAGTCCTAACCCCAGTATCTCAGAATGTGACCTTATTTGGAAACAGGGTCATTGCAGATTTAATTAAGACGAGGTCATCCTGGAGTAGGATTGGCCCTTAATGGTGTCCTTCTGAGATTGGTGTCTTTATAAGAGGAGAGGGACACGACAGAGAGAGAGATTTCAGGGATGCAGCTGCAAACCAAGGAACGCCAGGATTGATGGCCGCCCCAGAAGCTGGGAAGAGGTGAGGAAAGATTCTGCCCAGTCTCACAGGAAGCACGGCCCTCCCTACTGACACCCATTTGTCTCTCTCTGCCTAGATACTTTGTCTCTCAATTAACCCCTTTTCTCTCCCTCACTCTTGCTTCAATATCTCTTCCTTTCACACTCTATTGATGGCTCTTTGAAATGGTTGTTTTGTATTTTTCAGCTGATCTAAAGCTTATCAAATGTGTATGGTAATTGTTAAGAAACCTGGGCAGGAAAAGAAGCAGAGAAGGCTATTCAAAGTGTCAGGAAGCTGACCTGCTGTGGGTGAGAGGGTGTGTGTGTTGGGGGGAAAAGGGGGTACAGAGGACAGGATGGTGGGGGAGGGGAAGGTGGGCACTTTCTNAGAATGGAGAAATTCTATTTTCTAACAAAGAACAATATGTTATAATTTTCCCATCTTTTATTCCCGATTCCTTTCCAAAATAACTCACAAACAAAAACAAGCAAGCTCTCAATTGACAACAGCAAAATATTCATTTTAACTATGCAGACATTGTCAGCAACAGGAAATATACATGATCTATGACTTTTGTAGTATCTATTGTTTATTGTACAGCAAATTCCTATTACTCTAAACAGCATTACAATAAAATTTATGCATAATAAAATTCTTTTCACACTCTGATATACTGTTTCAAACAGTATTTGATAAAATGAGATGATGGCATCAATTCCTTATCATCTTCATTCAAATGGATTGTTTATGAAAAACTATATGTGTGTAGTGCTGTTGACAGGCCCTGTGCATGCAAATTTACAGCAGGTTTGGTTCAGATACATGACCTCTATTTAAGATATGTGCAATATTAAGAGGTCATTATATAGATGCATGCATGTCTATAATCCTGTGTGAGTGGGAGGAGGGTGGTTGGTTGGAGTAAGCAGTGGAGAAAACAAGGCAAGAAGCCATGAAAAGCCAACAAACTCTGACTACTGACCTCTAATATTTAGCTTCCTTTAGACATAAAAATTGTAGGCTGCTTTTAGTTAGGGGTTGAATTGTGCCCCCACCCCCCTA